ACGAGGAATTCCTCCTTCGTCTGTCGTCTTCCAGTGATTCTCCAGCTTTTCCTTGTTGGGAGCAATTGTTCGAGCAAATAGAAGCCCAACGAATACGCACAGCTCTCGAGCAGTGATAGGTGGCGTAGAGAGTAATGCAGCCTTGATCGCATCGCGCGTGCTCTTCTTGAATCCAGGAATCTTCTTCTCTCTTTGTTCCTGCTTCGTATACTGTCCTTCAACCCGTTCGTCGATCTTTTCATCAAAGTATTCGTTGCTTGCCTCCGCGATGTCTTACCACAAGCGAGGCTGCATGAAGTAAAATAGCACCCCAGAAACCGTCGTGGCCGCTTCTAGACTTCTCGGTGTAGGTCCGTAGTGTTCTCGGTATAACTGCGGGTAATCCTCTTGCATATTCGCCGTGCGAGGCTCATAAGGCTGGTCGAGATATGGAAATGGACTGTATGATACAGGATTAGACCATCCTTTGCTTGCCATATCCTTCAGGATATCAGCGCTAATCGTGCCGCTTGTAATACTAGCCATACCACCAACCGCAGTTAAAAGATCGTCGTCAAACAATGCTTCTGCTGGATCTTCATCATCTTCTTCCAGCTCGTCTTCGTCTCCGCCTTCAGTTTCATCTCCGAGTGCACTGTCAGCGCCGTCAGAACACCCGTCATCGTTTTCAGCATCGGACACCATGGCTTGGTACTCCTCAGGATCGTCTGCGTCTACAGTAATGTTGATATCTGCTACAGCATAGGTATACAATCTACGATCAGTATCCTGTATCACAAACGTGTACATACGATCTAAAACGCACCATCACCAAATGCAGCAATCCTTGCCGACCGGCGAGGACCCGTAATCTCTTCTTGTCGTACGGTCTCATCAACTTTGTCAAACGCCGGGTCCAGATTGCGTTGAATCTCGGGATCATCTTCCGAGCTTGGCTCATCGTCAGACTGGAGGCTATAAGTCATACGAGCTGACACGTCGGGGTACTCGACTCGTGGGGTTGGAGAGAGATGAGGCGATGTGCAGCGCAACGTCGGTGAAGGCTGGCTGCCATCACTATCACTGCGCGAGACGCCATTAACTCCATCTACAACACAGCAGCAATATACATGTTAGCTCGCACGCTAAACGGTATAATACAGGTAAACACAGCATCATACCATTGACTGGCGTTGTTTTTTGGGCAACAACATCATTCGTGTCTCTTCTGGCTTCATTTTGCTGATTACCACCTTCTGTATTGCTCTCCTCGCGTAACGTAACTGCTGTAAGTACCACGTTTGTATTATACATCATTAGCCGGCAGAATATCGTGTATATTTAAGACCAAGCATCACAATACCGCTAGACGTGGCATCGACGTCTTCCTGAGGCTCAACGCATTCAGCAGCCGTAGCAGAGGCTGCTTCTGGTAGTGTAGGCTGCTGTGCTTCTTTGGCAGCTTTCTCTGTTTCAATATAACACGTTAGACTGTCATTATGCGATGCAAAATAATTCAAGGTCTTACCAAGATCAATGCGGTCTAAGTAGCGCATTAATTCCTCTTCTCCGACGAAAACATCGACGCCACGGGTGTCCTTCTTGGTCTTACCAGGCTTCAAGTATGTGAAGTCAACAGAGAGGCCAGCCGGCCTCTTCGAAGACCAGCCTTCCTTCTTCAGCTCAGCCCAGCGGGCGCGAAAACCTGACATCTCTTGGACTCGGCGCAAATTCTTTAATGAGTGAAATGAGTGGCGTGTGAGCTATTGACTGTAAGAATTTGTCATACGTAGTCCACACCACACTAAAACCTCTTAGACTCAATTTTTAGAAAATGGAAAGACGCACTTCGAGCGGGAAAAGATTTGGTGAGATAACCCGGCACCCCGTCCCCGATTTCATTTAAAGTTTGTAAACCTCAATACAAACGTCAAGTCAAAATTCCTTATCGTGTATGGTCCAGGATAAACTTTTTCTGATATCGTGTCGAATATAGGCCGTCGCGTTCAAGGGGATAAAAAGTAAAAAAAAAACGTTTTAACATACATAAGTACTGTACTTAATTGTTTTTGCAGTATATTTCTAGCTCCAGAGTATAACCTCTGACAGTTAAACCCAGCCCAAAATAAGTCCATTAAACACTGATAAAACCCCACCAATTCCTGACAATCTGGTCGGCGATAACTTCGACGCTGGTGGCGCTCCCGCCGCCGATACTTTCTACCATCGTCTTGTTTGCCGTCGAAGGGCTCAATCTGGACTTGGCACCCTTCAAGACTAAGTTGTCGGTCAATCGTCTAAGAGATGTGGCACTGGTGTGCAAAGCAACACACAAATTTTGGAGAACATAAAGAAAATCTCCCGGAACGTAGCGTATTTGGAGCTACTGGACACCATCGAACCCGAAGAGTTCGACGAGATTGTACAAGGATTTCGAGAAGACGAAGCGATCATACGCGACTTTCGACTCGGCTTGGGTCCGTACGAGCCATGTGAAGGTCCCTTCGACCCAAGGAACTTCTATCCACACGAACCATATCTAGGAGATCTAGATCAAGCGGCTCTTGACTGAGACGCCATGTTCAGCTGCATGTCTGGCCTCAAGAGACTAGATCTGTCAGAAATCCCTCTAGTAAGTCGACACCTCGCTGGAATTCTCAGCAGGGGGTCCGAAAATGATATTGTTATTTATCGTAGTAGCATCTTCACGATAAATTATCGCGAAGCTAGCTTGTATGTTGGCAATACGTTATGATGCTTAAGCTAGAAGACCAATAAATAATTGAGTTACTGCTGCAATAACCACGGTTTATTGAATCAATAACAGGTATCTACGCTCGAGTTGCTGTGTCAAGTGTTTGTGCGTCCCAGTAACCAGCATTTTCGCGCAGGAAGAGAATCATTTCTAAAGTAATGGGCTGCAGTCCATGGCGTTCTTTGCCAAACGTGGTACGAGCAACGCTAAAAAAAGCGCTCCACCACGTTGGACGTCGCAGGGATTGCATGCAAGAGCTTGTACTTGGTCTCCTTCGCGGCAAGTCGGCGTCTCTTTTGAAGCAGCTGGACGAACGAACTTTCGCCGTCGTCCTCGTCTTCACTCACTGCAGGAGAACCTGTCGACTTGAACGGAGTCAAGAATGTTTTTTCAGCTCGCGTGAGGCGGGCTGCATTGCCGCCTAAGACTTGTACACACCCTGACTCAAAGTCAGGGCTGTGAACAATTTCAGCGCGTGGGCCTAGTGTTCATAGTGAATACAAAACAAATTAGCAATGGATACTAGAAAAGGAAAAAAATATGCTGCACGTACCAATGTACCGAGCGTAGTGTGGTTTGATGGAAATCAAGCCATCCAGCCACACTCGAGCATCAAGTAGTGATACTTCGTTTCCCTGTAAAGCTTTTGCAACGGACTCGACCTTCTTCAAGTCTGCTAGCAGAGCACGTAAACGGCGGTTGTACGAAGGGGACGGCAGCAAATCGGCGATGTCGTCGTCATTGCTGTCGATAAACTCCAGCAGTGTTAAGTACCGCATCACCATAGCGAAAGTGGAGCTCCATCGAGTATCTTGGCGGATAACCGGACGGAGCGGCGTTTTAGTTCTACATTCAAAATAGAAACCCAATTGGAAACGTTTCTAGTAATCAGTTCAAACTTAACTCAGCTTGGCACTTTGCTTCAGGTTACGAAGCTTGATCATTAACTTCTGGACAGCATTCAGCTCGTCCTCATAGTCTTGCATGTCAGCTTGCACTGCTCGGTTAAGGCGGTGGCTGGCACAGCCGATTAGCGGCACACCCATCAGCGTTGCGAGCCGCCGGTTAACCGAGCAGTTGTCTCCCACCAGGAAACAGCACTGGCCCAGCTGCTTGCCGTAGTCCCGAGGCAGCATAGTGGCAAGAAACTCCATGTGGCCGCGGGCGGAGAGGTCTTCCTCCTCCTCGTTGAGCAGTGGAGCCATACAAAGAAGAGAAGTCTTGACGACCCCGTCCACCTCGTAGCGAGCGTACACTGCAATGTAATGATCTGAAGCATGAGACCACCCATCAAAGATTAGCCCAAAAAGGTCAGGCATCTCTTCAGCGATGCCACGCTCCACGGCCCGCGTCACACTACTCATGCCAGAGACGAGCGTCTCGACACAAATTGAGTCAAGATTAGAGTACCTATAGAAAGCAAATAGAAACAGAAGTTAGAAATTCACTGGCAACTTTAGAAATGCGTATGACTTACCTTTTGGCCGCCTCATTCTCACAGAATGACAGCGGAAGATTGCTCTTTAGGATCCACTCCATCCAGCTGAATAGATTGAGAGAGGATCGCCGCACGTAGTTGAGAATAGACCCCGTCTCGGCCGAGGTGGCGGTGAGCATGAGGCTCTCATGGGTTGGGTGCTCGCTTCGAACGTGCGATACCAGGTTGGAAAAGCCATTGCGGCTAGCCTGCTTTCGAACCGTGCCGCAACGACAGCGGTAGTACTCGAGGATGACTTCATCAAACTCGTCGCGGCACGGTTGAAAGAAGAACCCAGCAATTTGTGCTGGCGTGAACGTGGAGCGCAAACTGCGTCGAGACGAGAAGACCATGTTAGCGGGAGTGTCGGCGTGGGAAGTGAGAGAAAAGAAAATGAGTCTGCTGAGATCAGCCGATTCGGCAACAAAACGACTGGTTCGTGACGATCGATTGACTGCTGCAGATAACTTCAGGAAACTGTACGCATAAATTACCGTATGTAATATGCAGCCACCATAAATTATGCACGAGCCTAGTTTAGGGTGACAACATAAATAATGTCTGCTTATTTATTGAAATTACTGTGTCGTCAATTTTTTTTTCGGGGGCCCTGATTCTCAGAGCTGCATCGAGACACTGTCCACGCCTGGAATTCCTGCTCATGCCGAGGAAAGAAGACTGTTTCTTCGAAGTTAAAGAACCCCAAATCCAAGACTTACTGATGGCTTTAACTGTAGCCTTAGAGACGTGGTTCTCTGCGAAAACTTGTGGGGGTTTAAAGCAACTCATATGCCTACATGTGACGAGGGTAATGAACACAGCAGCACACAGTACATCGAGGCTGTGACCCAATTTTGCCCCGGAATCAAGTACATTGACGGCTTAAAGCAAACCCTAGTGGATGGCCAAGAAGAATGCCCCGATATGTGGTCAATCTCGCTGAAAACATGGCAGGATTTTAACGCCTCTTGCACAGCACTGATAGCCTTCAACTGGACGCTCGTACCCTTCGGCGATCCATTCTTTCGTGTGTTTGGGGAGCACGTGAAACCCCAACTGACGTCACTGTCACTTACCGCAAATATGCGCTGGAGCTACGAGCGCTATCGCCGCCATTATCCTGGCTCTGCAACGAGAGAGGACGAGTGGGATACCCATCCAGACTACGGTACTTCTTGTCATTATCCTATCGAGGCATTACGAGGATGCCCCGCACTGAAAAAAAAAGCTGATTATTAAGATCGATTACTCGAAAATCCAACACCGAAAGGTGGACTCATCTGTGTATGGGGATGAGTTCTGGACAGCTGTGGCTAGAAATTGTCCTAGACTGGAAATTATTGATATGGTGGACTCGTCAATGCATCCGCTGTTCAATAAGAGACCTATCCAAACGTTGACGGAACGTACCCTCGTAACCCTTGCTGGGATGAAGTGGTTACGCTACTGTACTCTTGCTCCAGCTCGTCTAACTGAGAACTTTTTTGAGTATCTGCTATGCGTCGTGGGGTCGGATAGCTGTGTATCGAAACGCACAATTGACATCAGTATTGGAGGCCACGAGAGTAACAGACGAGCCAAGTTTTACCGAGAAATTGTAACATTCCTTAAGCTACTCGCAGAGACAAGTGAGGAAGAATTGGGCGTGGCGTTGAACCCCGTTTTGATTCTTACCAACCCGTACAACTCCAAAGTGAGACAGGATTGGTGTGAGGAATACATGCGCGATGAACTATTGCCGCTGTTAAGGACTGTTGCTGAAAATCATCCGTCGCTGACAATCCAAGTGCCGATTGCTGGACGCAGCGGTCACACGTTCTCTCGAATCAGCAGACTTTGTCTCGGTTGGGGACGAGCTAAAAGCAGCGTCAATTTGTTTGTTGACATCAGTAGCGTGACAGCGGGACGTGATTCTGATAGCGACACCAGCGTCTTTAGCGCAGACGAAAGCGAGGCTATGATCGCAGATTAGGTACTTGAATTTTTCTAGGTGACTGACACGCGAAATGGTAGTCAATAGACAAAAAATGTTCTTGCTGCTTCCCACTTAAACTATGTGCATTCTTGTTTAAATTGGAATGCGAGCATTAAATGAATTACATATAAAATCAATTTAAATCCTAGCGGAGAGCTGCATCTGATTCGTTCAAGTGAGTTTATAACAACCTTTTATTGGCTCAAACAGTAAATCAGTCCACAATTTGGATCTGGTGAAATGTCAAATTTATCGTCACTGCCGCCGTCTGTGCTCGCGCATGTGCTGGAGCTCGCAGTCTGTGGCATCTCTCAGAACTTGGCACCTGCAGGGCGATCATTGCATCTCGACGGTGTGAAAAATGTGGATCGGGTATGCAAACGCACTTTGCGCTCGGTTCGCAGTCTGGTTTCTGTCTTTCGAGCTACGACGATGAGTCTGGCACTAGAGAATGAAGCGACAATTGTAGACGTAGAAACAATGTACCGACGCGTTGAGATGCACGGAGTAGATGTGACCGATCTCCGTATTCGACTGGGGAAATATACGCGTGAAGGTCATCCGTTCATGGTTTAGGAAGAACGCGGAACCTGGAAAACTGGCGAAAGTGGCAATCGAGTGGAACTCATTGTTCCGCTTTCTACCAGGAGTGAAGAGGCTCGATCTAACTAAAATCCCGTTGCTGAGTAAGCATTTTCTGCTAATACTGGAGGCTGCAGCCACGTATTGTCGTCAGTTGGAATACCCGATTATGCCGGTAAGGTACTACACGTTTCACAGCACACACGGCGCAAATATCAACAAGATCATGGCAACGCTTTACAGTGCTTTGGAGAGATGGTATTCGACTGGTGGTCTACGACAACTTACACTTCCTACGTGGAATGGGGTGAACTCTAACGCTGCAAGTACTCGATACATTGAGAGTGTGACGAGGTTCTGTCCTAGAATTGAGTACCTTGACGGATATAAACAAGCGCGTTCGAAATCATGCGTGCATTGTCCAGAGATGTGGACAATCTCACTGCACACGTGGAGAGCTTTCAATGCCACCTGTACCAATTTGCGGAGCTTTCACTGGTTTGTTGTGTCATTTGCTGACCCGTTTTTCAGTGTATTTGGCGACTATATCAAGCCAAATTTGACATCGCTGTCGCTTTTTGCGAACCTTAACTGGACATACGATCGATATATACGTGACTGCAGTGAACAGACCTCTGACGATATAATACGAGATGGAACTATTCCAATGGGCTACGGTGTCTTGGCTACCGAAGCTCGAGCCGTATTCAAGGCATGTCCTGCTCTAACGAGTTTTTTTATTAAAATCGACTGCGTCCGGAACAACAGACCAGAAAGCCACTACGTGAACTCAGCTATATACGGAGACGAGCTCTGGGAGACAGCGGCGATGCTCTGTCCACTTCTAACATCGATCGAGATGGTTGACGCTTCCCAATACCCGAGCCTCAATTATCAGTCTATCAACGGTCTCTCCGACCGCACTCTGATAGCCCTTGCGCAACTTAAGTACCTCACGTCAGTAGAGTTTTGTATCGCACGTCTGACAGGCACAGGTATCTTCGACTGGTTATGCCGTGTGGCGAAATTTGACGGTTATGTTGGGCCTGAACGTAGGCTTCGAGTCACAATTGTCGGCCTTCAGCACGCTGAATTCTGCAAGGATTTGCCGGATTTCTATGGAGAAATTGTGGTGCTTTTGAGTCTTCTTTCGGAGGTCAGTGAGGAAGGTCTTGGAGCAGCTTCGTGCCAGACAAAACCTCTCCTTGAGGTTGTGAATCCGTACGAGTCCGTGGTATCCTGCCAGTGGAGCAAAATTTATATGGTTGAAAAACTCAGACCACTGATTGAGGCAGTAAGGGCGAAACACCCTTTACAAGTAAGCGTATCACTGTTCGGACAGAAATCATGCCAATTCAGCCGGATCGGCAAGCTAACGTTGGACTGGCAAATCGCATAAAAAAGGAGAAGCTCATTGACTGCCTAGAAAAGCAGCCGACTTGTGAGCAATCGACTGTGAAGATAAAAGCGATTCGTATAAAAAAGGAGAAGCTCATTGACTGCCTAGAAAAGCAGCCGACTTGTGAGCAATCGACTGTGAAGATAAAAGCAATTCGTCTGGATACGATTTTTTTGCATATTGACACGCCACACCTTTGTGCACTCAACCTCGTAGAAAACGGCAGTCAAACTCGTAACTTAAAAATTGGCAAATAGGAAAATTACAGTAGGAGTCCCTAATCAGTATTCAATGTTAAAAAAACTGCAATCAACCTCGTACAAGATTTGCGCGACTGGTTCGCGCCAAAACGATAGGCTCTGCTCGACTCGCGCCAAAGCCCGAGGTTTGTACAGCTCGATCAGAACGAAAGGAGATCTGGTTCATTTGCTAACTTACCGTTTGTCTCCAAGATGCCTTCCCGAATCACGCCGCACACCCTCATCGAGAAACAGCAAGTTCTTGAAGCCCATCGTGCCGGTCGAGAAGACTGGCTAGCCGTTGCTCATTTCAACGGCATTCCTGTGACTACTGCCTACGACATAGTACGGCGTGGGCGCGTGAACAATCTCCCTCGGGGAGACGCGAAGCACGTCAAGATGACGCCTGAGGCTAAGGTCCTCCTCGAGGAGTACCTGAATGATAACTGTACCTACACGCTGGACACCATGAGGACAATGTTGTTTCTGGACTGTGGCGTTAAGGTGGACACGTCGACGATTAGCCGGCACCTGAAGGGCATGCTGTTTACCGTAAAACAAGTGAGAGTCGAGCCCACAACGTGTAATAGCGATATCAACATTGAGAAACGACGTGTGTTCGCCGTGAAATTGAAGGAGCATCAAGACGCAGGTAACTGCATCATTTACTATGATGAAACTAACTACAACATCTATTTAAAGCGCTTGCGAGGACGATCTAGGCGAGGAGAGAGGGCCGTGCTCAGCCTTCCACCCTCCAAAGGGGCCAACCTTCAGATCCAATGTGCTGTTTCGTCAAGCATTGGGCTGGTGACGTACCAATTGGAGCATGGCAGCACTCGCATGGAGAAGAATGCTGCCTTCGTCGAAGAGATTTACAAGGCGGCCAAGGCGTCGCAAGAGTTCCGCAGTTTCTATCAAGGAAAAAAGATTGTCATCGTTCTTGATAATGCTCCTGCCCACCGACAGACGGAGGATCGCGTTACCGAAGACATGGAGCTGCTACGGCTCGGGCCGTACTCCCCCATGTGCAATCCGATAGAGGGTTGTTTCAGTGTGTTAAAGGCAAACATCAAGAGGAACTTAGCAATCAACCGCGAGGAAATTTGCGATCGCAGCCGTCAGCTGGACGAGAATGGAGACGTGATAACGCTCGCTGGAAGGCAGATGCGCGTTCTGGAGAGGGCTGCTAAGGCGGAAATGAAGTGTATGACATCAGTTCTGGTGTCTCGTATGGAGCTTCACTGTAGCAAAGCTGTCAACGCTGCTGCTGAAGGAATACCTATGGTCTATGGTAAATAATCAATGAAGTTGATTGCCGTTTTTTCAACATTGAATACTGATTAGGGACTCCTACTGTAATTTTCCTATTTGCCACTTTTTAAGTTACGAGTTTGACTGCCGTTTTCTACGAGGTTGAGTGCACAAAGGTGTAGTATTATTTTCTGCACTAATCTAGTGCATCTATGAATTCTCTACAATCGTGTACCCAGCCTTGCTCCATGTACTGCTAATATATGACAAATATGTGGTACTTCCTCTGTCCGAAAATATAAGCGGGGCATCTATTTAAACCGTGTCCGAAAATAAAAGCGGCATGCTTACAAATTCAAGTCATTTGATAGTACTGTCGTATTCCACTTAAGTACTCCCATACAAATGCTGCTGTTGTTGCCGGCCGCTGCAAACCAGACCGTAGAAATATTTAGGCACTCTACACGGCACCGCTCAACAGAGAATCTCACGCGCTACATCTCTACAGGTTTCTATGACATTTTGTGTAAAATTGACATCCTGGCGAAAGATTTTCAAATATCACATATTCACCACGAACTTTGCATAACGATAACTTTGCGACCAGGTGTTCAAACGTCGACCAAAACAATTGCCGTAATCTAAACAGCAATTAAAACCAATCAGCTGCTCGTTTAAAGGGTTTCTGTTCTTAAAATTAATTTTGCCCGCCCATCCTGCTTATTTTTTCGGACGGAGGAAGTATTTTTTACGATAAATGTATAAAGTACTGAAAAATTGCCGTGAGTTATATTTTAACGTGAGCCAACAATCACAGGAAAATAAAACGTTATTTCAATTTTTTAAATTATATTTTGAAGCCTTGTAACAACGATTTGGAGTAGAACCCTGTTGCGAATAGCGTTGCAGAAGCTCCTTGGGGCTCATGCTGTGATTGACTATAACGGAGGAGGTAGACTTCATCGACGTCATGAGCTGCACCGCTTCCGAATTTCAATTCGCAGCTACAAATGACCCGATGTTGCGCTTGAATTTCGGCAACTGGTGCTTGAGTGGTTTCGTATATTCAGGCGGGGGCAATTCTTTATTTTAGATAATTAAATGACAGAGACCCATTGCACTATTACGTGTGAAGGTTCCTGGTCTTACAAAAACAGCTACGGCTATTCCTTGGACTAAGCGTGCTGCACCGCAAGAGCTGAACATCTAATCTAACGATGCCACGTACGAGGGGGTCCTTTCCACGACTTCGTTCGCTTTCAAAGTCTGCACATGTTGCTCCAAACATATTACGGCGCGTGTCCAAGAGGCTTTGTGCTTATCATCTTTCATTTTGATCTTCCCAGAAACGAAGCGCAATACATATCGTGCTCCGGCGCTACATGAAACTGTCGTCAATCACTGACATAGTAGTAGAAGCGGATTGCTAGTATAGATATCCGTAGCCAAACGTGATAGATGAAGAGCAGCCAAGCATCTCAATAGCAACACTATGCCCTTAGGACTTCGAGCTTCGGAAAACGATTGATAAGAAATTAGCTGGGGCTGCCAAAACTGGTACGGAAAGGAAATGCAACATACAGTACGCTAGCATTCTGAATATCAACGCGAGATACCGAAATAAGTATTTGGTTTGGAGACGGAGAGAGAAAATGAGCTGTAGTCTTTGGGTGCGCAGCGCTCCAAAAATGGATGGTGTGTGTGTTTTCGTTGAAAATTTGTATTGCTTGAGATCCGGTATTGCGAGGATATGCAATACCATACCCTGCATCCAAACGGATTTTACCATATACTACCCGGGCTACTATTCCTTAGTGCCCTCAAAAATTCGATCCGTTTTGAAGAGAGGGTCACTAAATGAGTAAGGGCTTCTAAATATTGCGTATTGGGTTCAGGTCCCTTTTCTTTTAGTTCTGATCCAGTCTAAAACGCAATTTTCTTCCTGAAGAGGCTAGCGTTGCATCTGGTCGTCGTAAGTTTGAAAGTTATCTTTAAGAGCGATTTTTTAGTAGACCAAATTGATAAAGTTATACCGGGTATCTTTGTGATGCAGATTTTTATACTTTTGAGCACAAGTAAATTTTAGCACCGGGCTTTTAAATAATACGGTGATTTTATACGGTAAATTCCGTTAAATTTAGCAAACATTTTTACTACAATCTATACTGTGATTTACCGATGGAGCTAAAATGCCGGCCAATGTATTTTCTTAAACCTCTAGATACAACTTCAAGCAAATTGATTTTGCTGCTGTGCAACCGGGGTTGGGGGGGGGCTGCCCCCCCCCCCACCGCCCCACAATGCCCCTCGGTCCACCTGCATGATTTATCTTTGCATGCGTAATGGCTTCGAACATCCATCTTCGAAGTAGGTCAGATGCCGGTATTCGAAATTCAAATTAGGAATAATTTTTTGTTTAAATATTTGGTCAAAGTACTATATTATTGATTAGTCCTGTATTGCAATGTAGCTTGAAAACGAATATTAAATTAATAAATATTTTTTTATTGTGAAAACACCGATTAGTTTGTCTAATTGAATTACAAATCCGCCGATTTATAGTCTACCCAAGCGTCTTATTAATAGTTTATTTAGTTAGGCTTGCAGCAAATTACTGATGAATGATCTCGCTTGTAGTGCTATTTATGAGATTGAAAACATAGGCCGATTTACTAATAAATCACTTCGCCGCCAGATTTAGAAACAAATCGGTCGGTTTATCCGATCTCTAGACGGCATTCCAAGTCTAGCACAACTAAATTCGACAACAAATTGAACAATGACTCTAGTGTGTGTATCTGTTCAAATAGGAAGCATCACCAAGACCAGTCGAACAAACGTCAGCATCGAGGAGCCAAACTTTACATTTGACGAAGATAACGAGCTGTTCGAAGACCTACAGATTAAAGTTGAAAGGATTGCTAGTCCTGCTCTGCGGCTATACAAAGTCAAAACTACGCGAGACGACACAGCAATGTACTTGAAGCCAAGTCTAGGGGTCAAGCAGGCAGAGTGGGTTGCGCTAACACCTGGAAACTGGAAGCACTATATAGATATTGCAAGAGGTCATCACCAGAAGTGCAGGACAAACAAAGGCCCCTTTGTTGTAAAGCTGTTTGTATTTGCTGCAAAAGAGACAACTACTCAGGCTGCAGGAATACGGAGGGCGACAGGGTCAAGAATCCAAGACGCTGCCCGTGCAATTGATAACTATCTATTGGAGCGTGGCGACGTCCAAGTCGGACCTATTGCCCGTACTTATTGGGAGACCACCCATACCAGACAGCCTGAAGGTACAGCCCCATCCGTACCGGATAATGTAACTTTTCGCCAGATGCAGCATCTTGACTCAATGCGACCTTTTCCAACGCCTACAAAAACCGAGAGCAACCTGCAAACGATCACTGTACAGCTAAATGGCTCGTCAGATCTACAGCTTTCGTTTAACGTGCGTGAGCTACGAACCATTCTTGTCTTACCGAATCACAACCTACTAGCTGAAGGGGTATTCTCCTCATTCGACGTCCCAGCTGAACCGACCGAAAATATGGTCGACGAAGACCATATTATAGAAGAAGAGTAAAGGGGGCCATAACAGCCATATCAAAGGCAAATACACGGGTATATTGGGTTTTTTTATCTCGCTTCGCTCGAAGTCTCCCACCCACCCCACCAAGCTCCTCCCATCCGCCTCCCCGCGGTCCTACTGAAATAAATCTAGCTCTCGCTTGAAGACAGCCTCGTTTAAACCACCTTCATCGTATCCGCAATGTCTGAACAGACCTGTACCTCCACCATCTTCGTCCTTCGTGCATCTTGGCATAGCAACCTCTAATACCCTTTCGGGGTACAGACCAAACGCCAAATTCGCATGTCGAGCTAACCACCTCTTCAACTGCCCAAATAACACTTCGATCGGATTAAATTGGGGGCAGTAAGGCGGTAAAAACAACAGTACAGCTCCACATGAGTGAACAGCGGTTTCGAACTCGGCATACATATGAATACGGGCGTTGTCCAGCACGACTATTGATCTAGGAAGCGGCCACGGGTTCAAGTGCTTCAATATTGAGCCGATGAGAGCACGTTGAAACTTGAGGCGATTAAAGGCGCCGCGAGTTGTCCTCCAAGCAAAGAAGCCTTGAATTGTAGATACCACCGGCTCACGGTACGCCCTGACACACCGAAAATCCACCCGACTTGGTCACAAGGCACGCTGTACGCGTAATGCAGCACAATTGCTCGCCACCGGAATTCTGCTGCGTACATATCACCGTTTCTCTCCGTTATCTCGACTGCTCTAGAGAGTCCTGGTGCACTCTCTGCCGCAGTCCGATTTGATATCTCTAATACGACTTTGCACTCCGTTTTATTACCGTAGCCAGACTATTTTTGTCAACACCACAATAACGATTTGCATGCAAATAATGCAAGACAAACTTATCGGTTTTCACAATAACCTCTAAGTATTTCATCGTGCAAGTTTGCGACTTCATTCATGCCGTGGTTGACAGCTTGCAACAGCTGGTCCGATAAATTTTCATTAACAATATAAGACACAATTTCATATCCACATCCCTCTCGTCTCCATTTGGTTCGTGATGCACCAGATCGTAGGCTTGTTCCTATGGGGATGCTTGTGAGTCGTAACGTACTTGATCCGTTTCGATAAATGACATGTATCCAGCGGGATATCCTCAGGAGTCAACAGGAGGCAATTTCGAGCCACTCCACCCAGATTTTAGAACCTCTCTTTCATTTCGTCATCACTAATAGGGTAGTCCAGCACGGAAGCAGCTAGTTGTAGCTTAAAAGCTTCTATGGCGGTAGGTAGTAGTCGGAGAAATGCTTTCTCGACATCTTTATCCAATGCTTGTTCGGGCTCGTAAACACAATCATTGCTTTCGGTGGTCCATCACATAGCCAAAGTACCTTTTCGTCCGTCTTTTCTCTCCAGCTCGACATATTATTCGGATCCATGCCTGACCAGTGTTGCATCAGCATGCTCGTATTTTGCTGTATTGCCTCAACAAGTCCCAGTCGCTTCTTGTTAGATTCCTGCAGGACGAATAGCTGGACATTTCCGCGATGGGAATAGGATGAAGCGACAATGGTCCAGTCTGGATTACCCCTCCGGAAACTATGAAGGAAATAGGCGTATAAAATCGACGTCCCGATTCCTATCAATACAATATATCGGATCAATTATTCGTCATTGGTGTAGGATGTGCAATGAATATGAGGCACATGGGCTAATGGCTTACCTGGGGTTCCTGTCACAGTTGTGCACGACTTCTTCGTCTGTAGCAGCAGGGCCTCCACTATCACATAATTAGTGTCATGCATGAGTGAATGAAAAAAAAAGAACTTGCCACCGGTGCACAATAGGACGTGTTCGGTGTCGCAGGTCCTAATTCAATATAGAGGATAAATTTATTTGGCGGTTAGTCTGTTATTTTTCCCTACAGCTACCGTTATCCGTTATGCAACGCTCACCCAGATCTAAAACCACTGCACATTTTTAACAAGGGTCTGCTGATCTGGAGTGACTATTCACTGGGGTATGAGAAAGATGCTAAAGCTGTCGAACCAAGTTCTAGATATTTTCATAAAGAAGATCATAAAGCTGAATCCAAAGAAATGTTCGCTCTATCTCAAGAAGGCATTGTGGTGTGGACGCGTGATCTCTGGTGAAGGTGTGCGCCATGATCCTTAGCGGATCGAGGCTCTAGTGAATCTTCTACCCCCCACGACTGGTCAAGCGCCCCAGGAGTTCATTTGCTCTCTAAACTGGATGCGAAGTTCTATGTCCGCTTTCAACAAGCTCATGTTCCTGAAATCACAATTATTATGCGTAACAGATGCGAAAGAAAACATACATGGTTCGAATCACTTTTCTGGCTCAAAATTGGATTCAACGCAATATCCGAATGAAGTATTTTCCTCCAAAGTGTGATAGTACCAAAATGCATTGCCACAGGATGCTGGTTTTCAGAGTTTACCGTACAGTGATTTTGAAGGTCTGGACTTAGCTCCAGTACATATATTTATATGAGCGAGAACCATGTAGTATGATAGTACTGCCGCATTTATCGTGGGCATGCGGAAAAACTAGTGAAATACAAGATACTGTAAGTAGTTAGGGGTGAAGCATTAGCATATAACTACCGGTTGGACCGTGTATCAATGCAATTTTATTGGTGACCCGCGGCCTTGTTATACTTTAATGTTCTCCCCAACAAGCCTTGCCGGTCTTTTGGGGCACCGACGGCGTGCCAAACGATATGCAAAAACTCTATCTGCTCAGCGCCGAATGCAGAATCGCCTCAGCCGAAGAGCACTTCTTCCGCTGCACAAGCCCGCTTTTCAGTGGCGCTATGGGTCGGGGTGCAATCAGTCGCTAATCACATTAACAGGATTTCACCCTACTGGTTTTCACTATCTGATAGTCCGCTTTGAGCCTCTCTACTACATACCCTCGCCATACTCTGTTGATGGATCGATTACCAAGCTAAATCAAGGTGCAACGGGTCGTGTCCGGCCGCTTTCATTGACGGCGGCTCAGTGTTTGGCTCTAGTGCTTGCGTGTGTGTGTGTG